ACCCTTTGATAGTAAAATTAAGATTATCTCATTAAGAGAAAACCTGAGGGAGCAAAATAGAAAACAGAGCTGTAGCCAATAAGTTTGTACTAAAAACTGAATGCTTGCAAAATTCCTAAAAGGAAAAAAAAAAAAAAAAATACATTTTCAGGCTGTTAAATCCCTGCTTGTAGTGCAGCAGGTCAAAAATAACAGAAGGATAGAAGTCTGGGGAAATAAAACAGACCAACTGTCATTTTATGCAAATGTTGTCAGAATGTGATTGTATTCTACCACAGGTGTTCGTACCAACATTTTCCCAATCAAGGCATTGCAAAATAAATGAATAAAAAACACAGGAAGCTGTGCAGCAGAGCAGATATGATCAGCACTTCATGTGAGGTTGATATTCTAAACAGAGTAAAACCATGAAGTGAACTCCAAAGCCTCACCTTCCACTTTGGCAGCATTGGGCTCCTTGACAGGTTTTGCAGCTGAAGAGCTTGTGTCTCTTCTAGACCTCTTTGAGTCCCGTCCTCCATGTTCGTCCCCCAGATCAATGACGAGCTCTCTCTCAGAATCAGAGTCCTGTTCAGCTGATGCAGCAGCTGCTGTTTTGCCCTCCTCTGTTGCTTTAGGCTTCTCATTGACTGGCTGGGACTGAGGTGTCCTGGGTTTGTCCTGTAGGTCCCTTTCTGGGCCGTTGCCAGTCTTTTCCTTGAGTGAAGCCTCTGCGGCTGCAGCTTTGTCCCCCGTCACTGTAACTCCCTCCTTCCCTTCTCCCTCAGTGCTCGCCTTTGACCTTTTTCTTTCTGCCTTATCCTTTTCATCCTGAGCAGAATTCTTTGACCGATGCTCTTCATCGCTGAGGTATTCGCTGTCGCTGGAGTCGGATTTCTCAGAGTCCTCAGAGTCACTGTGGTCCACGTCTTTATACACATCTTCAGAAATCTCATTAATGCCTGTAGAAGAATTAGAATTTATGTTTTTGGTTAAAAAAAAATGTATTGAGAAACATTAAAAATACCATTTATAGTAATCTGAACCAGATTTTTGGTGGTATTGTGTTGAAATAGTTATTTTAGGAGAGCAGAAAAAACAACAATACAGGCTATTCCAAACTGCTGGCCAAAACGTATCAAGATTTTCTACAGTGGTACATCAGTATTTTGGAAAAATAACATATTTTTTATTTTATTTTGTTGTTTCCAAATCCATGTTTCAACCTGTTATAACATATACCAACTCTGTAATTACCAAGCTGTGCCTTGCAGCTTTCAATGGTCTTGTCCAGGCTCCTGAGGGGCCTCTTTGGAGTGGTGACAGTAGCCGGGGCTGCTTGCTGCTGCTGCTGCTGCTGTTGCTGCACCGTCTCGCTCAGCTCTTTCAGGTCCATTTCAGCCTTCACTCGATCTGGTTTAAACACAAATTAGAGAACAACCGTTCACCTTCCAAATGCACTTTTACCACTTCAGCTAGGCGCATTTAGTCATTACCGGTCGCAAAGGATTTTAAAAGACTGACACAAAGGAGCAGAATTGTGGCATAGAAAGAAAGGGATACAAGTTTATAAGATTATGATTTTGAGTAAAGTCATTTCAAGGTAGTAACAGAAAAACAAACATTAAAGCCAACACTTTCCCCAGACAGAGAAAATAAAAAACACACAATCAGTCGGGTTGTGAGGGAAGTTTGGTCCGATTGCTTTTGCAGTTATAGAGGGTGAGTGAATATAGTACATAAACCAGAGGGTGAAAATCCTCATAATCCTGTTTTTATAACAAACGATCAGGCTGTGTGTAATAATTTGCATCTGGTGCGGCACATTTCCTCACATGTTTTTTAATTAATCAAGCAAAGCAATATTTAACAAGCTAAACATAAACAAAAACTAATCATAACAAATCGTTACCTTTTGTTATTGTTCTTTATCTTCGTACAACTGAACAGCCAGTAGTTCCTGTTGATTATTGTGCTCAGCTGTTCCTAGCAGACCTCTTTATCTTTACATTATTTAAGACTCAATTTTGGGATCATAATCAACTGTGTTCCAGTCCTTAAATGTTTTGGGAATGCATGAGAAGAAATGGGCTTGTGCATACACTTGTCTTAGCTCAGGGTCTGTTCCAGCTGCCTTCAAACATGCTATGGTTAGGCCCCTCATAAAAAAAACGCATCTTGACCCCTCTGTACTCTCCAATTTTAGACCCGTCTCCCACTTGCCTTTTCTTTCTAAGGTTTTAGAAAAAGTTGTTTTTATTCAATTACAGACATTTCTGGAGATCAATTCTGTGTTTGAGAAATTTCATTCTGGTTTTGGACCCCGACATAGCACCGAGTCAGCACTGTTAAAGGTGCACAATGATATTGCCCTGTCTGTGGACGCTGGAAGTCCTGCTGTGCTGGTACTGCTGGACCTCTCAGCAGCCTTTGATACAGTCGACCATGCAGTCCTTGTATCTCGCCTAGAGCACATCGGCATCTGTGGCACCGCTCTTCAGTCGTATAGGTCATACCTAGCAAACAGGAGTTTCTCTGTCGTGATTGGTGACCACTGCTCCTCAAAGGCATCGCTGCCCTTTGGGGTGCCACAGGGATCTATTCTCTGCCCTATTTTATTTTCTTTATATATGCTACCTCTGGGATCAATTATAAAAAAAATATAACCTGTCTTTTCACTTATATGCCGACGACTTAAATTTATATTTACCCTTGAAACCAAACGAAAACATTGCATTCACTAAACTACTGGACTGCATCACAGATATAAAGCAGTGGCTGTCACAGAACTTTTTGCACTTAAACGACAGCAAAACCGAATGCATTTTGTTTGGTTCTCCATCAATTTCAAATGTTCTCACCTCAAACTCCAGCAATCTAGCCCCCTTTTTTTAGATGCCATGTCAAAAATCTCGGGGTAACATTTGATAATGGGCTCAAATTTGACAAACAGATTAGCTCCTTTGTCAGCTCGAGCTTTTTCCAGCTCCGTCTTTTGGCCAAAGTCAAGTCTTTTCTCAGTCGGCAGGATCTTGAGAAGGCAATCCATGCTTTTATTAGTTCAAGACTGGACTACTG